GTTAGAAAAACTAACAAGTAGTACAACAACACCAAGTTTAAAGAAATCCGTGCAAAAACAACAGAGCTACGTTGATTTCAGTAAGAGTAAACGTGGAAAATTCGTAGTAGTACCGAGGCGCGCATGGACGGTACGTAGCCCACAGTCGATATAGGTTTGATGTTGTAAGTAACTATGGGAAAGCTGAATTTTTCTATGCTGTTAGACCATGTTGAGATGAGCATTTTCCCAAAAGTCCCCACTCCTACCCCTTTGTGCTTTCCTCTACCCCCCCCCTTTTAGATAAATTTACAGTCTCTTAGAAATTAAGCTATAACTTTAAAACGGGTAAGGATAATAACGCAATCTTTTATTAATCAATTTGCGTTACGATATTCTACAAAAAGTGTTTACCATGGTATCCTAAATATTCATAGTAAAAAATATCATAAACATAAAAAAATATTTTTTACGGAAACACTTATGAAACTTTTCTTTGTAGATTTTTTATACGAGGTCGCACAACAAAATGTTTGATACAAAATTTGGGGTGCATAGTTTACATTTTAAAATGATACATAGTTATTAACAGTTTGTTTGCATATAGTAGTTATAGATAGTACAGTATATTGATTTTACAGGACTCAGGCTTTTTTGTGCACCGCAACAATGAAAAAAATACGTATATTATGGTTTTTGTATTTGAATTTGCCGCTTTATATAGATTATATTAACGTTATGTAGCTCATTCAGTACATATACAGACTGTAGTGGATACATATGAATGAATATCGTGCATTTGCTGCTGTACGCCAGAGCCTCATTTTATTATACAGGGTGTCTCACCTAAAGTGAACCAATAGATAACTTTTTTATTATGAGATATAGAGTTAACTTCTTATGGGACACTACCCTTTATTTTAAGATGTTTTTTTTAGTGGTTTCGAATTTTAAAAATATGTTCGCCATTTTCCAATATGGCTGACAACTTTGTTAGTCCTATGGAATACCCTGTATTTTATGATTGTTTTAGAATGTAAACGCACAACTTTTAAACCTTTTTATTCTTGACATTTTTCTCTAAAGCTACTTGTTTAGGAGTTACATCGAAAAAGAAATGGTTTGTGAGTACATCCTGCATCCTCACAGCTCATAAACGTAAGTTTAAGAGCGGAAATACAAAGAATAAACAAGTTTTCAAATCACATCTACATAAAAAAAACCATAAAATAAATTGTTCCAATATCAAAGTAAGCTAGCATTTTTGAAAATGGTGGCCATTTTTAAAACAACAAAATCAGTATTTTTAACGTATTTTATAAATTTATTTGAACGAGGACTTATATGTGACTTATTTATTCTTTGCACTTTCTCTCTCAACTTACTCGTTTATGAGCTACATGATGCCGAATGTACACCACAAGCCTTTCTTTTAGATATAACACGCTGTAACTCCTAAATGGGGTAGGTTTAGAGAAAAAATGTCACGAATAAGAAAATAGCTTTTAAATTGTAAAAGAATACTAAAATACAGCGTATTCCATAAGAAATATCAAAGTTGTTGGCCATATTGGAAAATTGTGGATGTATATTTTTTATTCGTAACCATCCCTAAAAACATTTTTTACAATTAAAAGGGGTCGTCTAATAAAAAGTTAACTCTATATGGAAAATAAAATTTGTGTATGTTCACTATGTAATCTCAACCGGGATGAAACGTGTACCCTTTTATAGCAGAATCTCCAATTTAAAAAAAGATACGTCAATTTTGGTCTAACAAGTTATATTTAAATGAACATGAGTTTTTTTGAATTTTTAAATGGCAAAGATTGGCGGGCACTTGGAAATTATCTTAAAGAAGCGTGGAGTAAAGGGTGGGAATTGATAATGGAGTATAATTATTAAATTTAAGAATTGAGATATCGATACGAAAATTGGAAAAATCTATGTAATTTAAAAAATGTATAAAATATTGTTTGTTAAGTATCTATCAAAGTAAATTATAAAAGTAACAGGTTTGTTTTATGAATTATTAACTGTTTGTAGGAAAAATTCAGATTCTCAGTAGGCTACATTTAAATTTTATTATTCATTCAATTTATTATCTGATCTTTATTAGTATGTAGTGCTATTTTTGTATGTTCTGTAGTGGAAATCAGTTTATTTTATGAATAATTGTATGTGATTCATGGCATTTTTTTAAACGGTTTTAAAATATTTTAAAATCAGTGTGTCTAACACAAAACAGACGGTCTTTGACCATTGTTCTTTGCAATTAAATAAAAAAAACACTGTATTGATATTTTATTACAATGAACACATTTTCTTCTTCTTCATCATCTATCTTCTTCATCATTTATTCATCTAATAATTCTTTTTGTAGATTATCGTAACGCAAAATGATTAATAAAATATTGCATTATTATCCTTACCCGTTTTAAAGTTATAGCTTAATTGCTAAGAGGCTGTAAATTTATCTAAAAAGGGGGGTTAGAGGAAAGCACAAGGGGGTAGGAGTGGGGACTTGAGTGGGAAAATGATAATCGCAACATGGTCTAACAGCATAGAAAAATTCAGCTTTCCCATAGTTACTTACAACATCAAACCTATATCGACTGTGGGCTACGTACCGTCCATGCGCGCCTCGGTACTACTACGAATTTTCCACGTTTACTTACTGAAATCAACGTAGCTCTGTTGTTTTTGCACGGATTTCTTTAAACTTGGTGTTGTTGTACTACTTGTTAGTTTTTCTAACCATAAATAGTTTGTAACATGCCCTAAACAAGCGCAATATTTCCGATATTTCATTTTTAAGTATTTTTAAATTTTATTTTTTGCAATAAATGTTGATTAGCGCCTAAAGTATAAGAGATAGAAGAAAGGTTGTAATAACCTTTTTAAAAGACAATATATTTAGGCGTAGATAGACGCTTAATTCACCTTTCTATCATTAACCGTTTGTGAGTTAGACGCGGAAACGTAAACCGATGACCCGCGCAACTTCCCCCCCTCACCCCCGAGTTGTGACCACCCTAGAAATGCGACATCATTGATTTTTTTCATCTACTAGATGTCCCCAGCAATAATCAAAAGTCAAATTTTGTCAGACTTTCAGTGCATACTCAACCCGTTTAGCGCCTGGACTAATCACAGTATACTAGCAAATTACAAAATACAGTACAAAAGCAAAAACATCACTTGTTACTATTGAGCTACTGAATATTACTCGATACATTGTAGTAAAGGCTAGCAGTGCGGAGTGTGGGATCTGTAGTAGTCCGGAGTGTGGGAACTGTTTATGACGATTAGATTAAGGTATCTGCAATCCTAAAATGCTATGGAAAGGGAGGAAAACAGGTCCGCGACATAGTAAGTGGTGAAGGAAGTAGTAAAAGCGAGCAGTCTGGAGTGTGGGAACTGTTTATAACGATTAGTTTAAGGTATCTGCAATTCTAAAACGCTATGGAAAGGGAGGAAAAAAGGTCCGCGACGTAGGAAGTGGTGAAGGAAGTAGTAAAGGAGAGCAGTCCGGAGTGTGGGAACTGTTTATGACGATTACATTAAGGTATCTGCAATCTTAGAATGCACTGGGAAGGGAGAGAAAGAGGTCCACGACGTAGGAAGTGGTGAAGGAAGTAGTAAAAGCAAGCAGTCTGGAGTGTGGGAACTGTTTATAACGATTAGTTTAAGGTATCTGCAATTCTAAAACGCTATGGAAAGGGAGGAAAACAGGTGCGCGAAGTAGGAAGTGGTGAAGGAAGTAGTAAATACTGTTCAATGAAATGGCGACCATACATAGTAGGTATTTTAAGCCAAGTATGAGTGGAGATGAGTGTAGAAATGAGTGGCGCGATCTTGTAGTCTTGTTAGTGACTAAGGCCGACATTCCTTAGACACATAGCTGTTAATTAATAGCCCAAACAGCTAATGACAACTAAGGGACCTACAGTTTATAGTGGAATCCGAACCACATTTTTCAGGATAGTACTGCGGATAGTCGTAGTACTCACTCGTGCGGACGTTAATCCACACCAGGGAGTATCGCATCCACAGTGCATGCCTATAAATATCCACAATTCGTGACCTCCTAGTAGCTGGATTACAGGACGACGCCACCCGTCCCAGTCCGGAGTGTGGGAACTGTTTATGACGATTACATTAAGTTATCTGCAATCTTAGAATGCACTGGGAAGTCCTAAAATGCTATAGGATGGGAGGAAAACTTGTCCGCGACGTAGGAAGTGGTGAAGGAAGTAGTCAATGCGAGCAGTGTGGAGTGTGGGAACTGGAAACCGTTTGTAACAGTTAGATTTATGTATCTGCAATACTGAAATGCTTTGAGAAGGGATGGAAACATGTCCACAACATAGGTAAGGGTGAAAGAAGTAGTACATGCTAGCAATGTGGAGTGTGGGAAATGTTTGTGGCAATTAGATTAATGTATTTAAAATCCTAAAATGATATGGAAAGAGATTAAAACAGGTCCAAGACGTAGGAAATGGCGTAGGAAGTAGTAAAGTTTAGCACCGCAGAGTTTGGGAACCGTTTGTGACAGTTAGATTATCACTTAGATTAATGAATCTGTAATACTAAAATGCTATGTGAAGGGAAGGAAACAGGTCCATGGCGTAGGAAATGGTTTCTCTGTGATAGAAAACATGTTTAACACTATCTGTTCTGATAATCTTCCTTCGGCACCTTTAATTGATAAATCATTAATTGATATGAGAGGGTAAGTTAATTGATAAATATAGATTATATACATATATAAAACGATAAAACATTATGTTTTTCAATGTTATTTGGCTGCAATGCTGCAATCTTTTTTCGGAAAATCAGTAAACTATGCTGCTGCATGTTTCAAATAACTGAGCTACACCTGTTTAAGAAAAAGAATCTGTTTTTCCGTACTCGGTTGTCGGTGATGTCGGTTACAGCGATGAAAAAATAGCTAAGGAAAAAGAAGAAGTAAATTAATGGTTTCGGTTTTTGTGGTTTGTGCTGCTGAGTGGGAGTGGGGAGTGCTGAAGTTGATTCTGAAACACGTCTTTTTATTTCATTTCGTAAAAATCTAAATATTCCGGGGATGGAGACGAGATTGATTGATGTTACATAAATCTTATGTGTCCTGAATACCTCATTTATTGAATATGTTGTATAAATCAATGCCATTCAACGTTATACTGGTCTTTTACGTTCCGTGATAAAGTCTATGCGGTTAATTTTGATACGCAATTAAGATAAAGCCTACCCTTCATAAGGTTTTTGGTTTACTTAAGTCATCACGATCGTGCCTGTCGATTTTAAGTTTTGATCCTTTACTTGATTTCTTTAAAACTTAAAATGTGTGCCAATTGGACTGCTAACATCAGAGACATGTCGCCAGACCGCCATGGACATTACCAACTTGACAATGTGGGTTTGCAAAATGGGCTTGGTCTGCCAGTACAGTTGCTGGGAGCTAATATGATGAACAATTTTTACATGCCTAGACATGATGGTAAGTAGGCCTAGGTACCTATTACTAGGACATTTTTAGAAGATCTCTCTGCTGTTTCAACCTCCCGGTTTTGGTTTTAAGGTAGTAACTTAATAGGCTTGGTGGTAATCATTTACCGTACTTACACTGGGATAGCCTATTAGGCCTATGTAGTTTTTATATGTCTACTTACAGTATTTTTCACGCAGAATCCAAAAATGCAATCAGTTGTTGGAGAGATTCCTAAGTGGCCATACAGTTAAATAATGAATAGGCTATTAAGCTTCAGTTTTGTTGATTCATATTTGTGGTATGGACGAGTCCATGTTCTAGTAGCGACTAACACTAGGCTAGTAGGGGTGGAAGGTTTGTGGAGTGGAAACAGCTGTCAGTTGTTTACATTCGATACTAAACAGACAAAACCACACACAACGCTATGAGAGTAAAATCTGAGTTACGATATGCAATAACTAGATTTTTAAAAGAAAATGGACTTTGGTGCTGTTTAGAAAATACAATAAATCAACTATGATACATAAACTACATATTAATCACATTAACATAAATTATAAACAAAATACTTAGAGTTCATATTCATTCTCGTAAATAAATAAATAAATAATAAATAAATACGTAAAATATCAGTAATAGAAGCTAGGCCACTGCAGACATGATCGTCCTCATTCCAATCCTCAACGTCTGTTAATGAACGTGCCATATGTCTGTGAAACTGCCAATAAACCAACATTAAGCTATGACGTCACCGTCAGATCAGTAGATCAAGAAGGCCGTGGCATCAAAACTTCCTAACCTCAATTTCATGTATCAAAACGTCCTAACCTCAAACACATGTTTCACGTGTCAAAACTTCCTAACCTCAAAAACATTTTATGTTTAAATCATACGTTTTGAGCAGTTTTAAAGTGTTTGTTTTACTAATGTACCATTTATATGTAACTGAGGTGTCTAAATAAAGTATATTAACCACAAATAACACTTGTTTCTATACCATAATTGTATCACGCAATGTACTCCCACGTGCGAAGATAGTAAAAAAACCTGAGGTAGTAAAAACAAAAATCTTCAAAAACGGTTTATAAGATTTTGATAATTTTTATGTAGTATAATTATAAGTACTTAAGCAACCTGAGAAATAAATTGCATTCCCATACACTTGTGTGAACCTGGCAATAACTCCAGCCATAAGTAGTGCGCGCGGCCAAAAAAATTTATTGCTGGCCGTTTTGCGGCAAAATACGTCCGCGAGCAATATTACCGATGATGCCAACAGATAGAGGACACTTTAACGGACACGACAGTATCAACATCATGTACCTGGGGGATAAGTTTAGGGGGGTATAACCAGCAATAAGTAGTGCGCGCGCCCGATAAAATCTATTGCCGGCCGTATTGCGGAAAAATACGTCCGCGAGCAATATTACCGATGATGCCAACAGATAGAGGACACTTTAACGGACACGACAGTATCAACATCATGTACCTGGAGGATAAAATAAGGGGGGTAAAACCAGCAATAAGTATGCGCGCGCCCGATAAAATCTATTGCCGGCCGTATTGCGGAAAAATACGTCCGCGAGCAATATTACCGATGATGCCAACAGATAGAGGACACTTTAACGGACACGACAGTATCAACATCATGTACCTGGGGGATAAGTTTAGGGGGGTATAACCAGCAATAAGTAGTGCGCGCGCCCGATAAAATCTATTGCCGGCCGTATTGCGGAAAAATACGTCCGCGAGCAATATTACCGATGATGCCAACAGATAGAGGACACTTCAACGGACACGACAGTATCAACATCATGTACCTGGAGGATAAAATAAGGGGGGTATAACCAGCAATAAGTAGTGCGCGCGCCGGATAAAATCTATTGCTGGCCGTATTGCGGAAAAATACGTCCGCGAGCAATATTACCGATGATGTCAACAGATAGAGGACACTTTAACGGACACGACAGTATCAATATCATGTACCTTAGGGATGAGTAAAGGGGGGTATAACCAGCAATAAGTATTGCAATAAGTAGCGGCTAAGCGACTACATAGAACATAGCTACTGTGCACTGGTTCTAGTATAACAGACAATGATTAATGGTTAGTGCAGCAATGGTATAGCAATTGTTAGTACAGCTCTGAAATACAAACAAATGAAAGCGTGTTAGTTAGTAAAGAAGCCAGCAAAAAATTACAATCACTCTAATAAATCAACTATTTTCTTTTACTCCCATAAATCAAATATCTCACAGCTGAATTGCTGCTACAGTAACTATCTGTTACCCACGGGCTCCACCCCTGTTACTACAATAGTATTAATAAAACTATTGATTGGTTAAGTTAAGATGAAATAAACAAAACAGAATACAGTAATGGTAATGCAAACAAATAATAACAGCTGAGGTATTTTTAACATTAGGTAAATGGAAAGTTCCCTTTGGAAAGCAATTACGACCTTATAGGGCAGTTTATGAAATAATGAATAATTTTGCGCAAGGTTTCTCGTCATGACGAACAAGTATATGGTTTATGGGGGTGTGACTTGTAGTTTTCTCAAAAGTTCATGGGTACTTTTGACTTTATACATAGATTACAATAAACATTGACTACAAACTAAACACCACACATTATTTTAGGTAACACCGTGTTCTCACGGACCTACGCGATAACAAAACGAATTTGAAAAACCACCTTGCTGTCGACTCCCGCCCATCGATGTAGTTATTATACATCGATGCTCCCGCCTCGCCGTCGCCGACCCCGACTGCGACTCAGACTCACTGTCTAGTCTAGTGTCTAGTATCTCGGCTCGGCGAGCGCCGCGCACATCCAGCGCTGTACCCCGGCTGTACCCTGCGCAGGCGCGGGCGACTGATGCGCGGCCCGGCGGTGAACCACAAGATCAGCTGTTTCTGAACTAGTGTCATCTGCTAATTTGTTATGTTTACATTTTGGAACATAACTTCGGTGAATTGGTGAGGCGATTCTGCTAGTATGGTTTTAGTTTGATTATAAATATTATAAATACTAACTTAGTTACTTGTATAACTGTGTTGGAAGAGGTTTAACACCAGAAAACCTAGTACAGTATATATTAGGAACGGCAATGCCTCTCCTCCAAACTTCACGTTATCTGCCCACAACTATATTGATTATGAAATAAAACTGTGCTAAACAAACCTAAACCAAACTTGCTGCAATATTTTAAAATTCCGTTTGATAGCAGCATTCTGAAAGGAAACTGCTGTTCTTTAATATCCTAACTAAACTTTCTGTAACATTTCAAAAATTTCTTTCCCAAAAATTCCATGATTGAATCATAATTCATTTGTTCTAAATATGCAGCCTAAAAATTTAGTTTGTAAAGTGTTTCTTGATGATAGACTAAGTAAATATGAGGTTTGTGACATTAAACTTACTACAGACAAGACAAATTGTAACAAAATTTGTTACAATACCCTGGTTATACCCCCCTTATTTTATCCTCCAGGTACATGATGTTGATACTGTCGTGTCCGTTAAAGTGTCCTCTATCTGTTGGCATCATCGGTAATATTGCTCGCGGACGTATTTTTCCGCAATACGGCCAGCAATAGATTTCATCGGGCGCGCGCACGACTTATTGCTGGTTATACCCCCCTAAACTTATCCCCCAGGTACATGATGTTGATACTGTCGTGTCCGTTAAAGTGTCCTCTATCTGTTGGCATCATCGGTAATATTGCTCGCGGACGTATTTTCCGCAATACGGCCAGCAATAGATATAATCGCGTGCGCTCACTACTTATTGCTGGTTATACCCCCCTTATTTTATCCTCCAGGTACATGATGTTGATACTGTTGTGTCCGTTCAAGTGACCTCTATCTGTTGGCATCATCGGTAATATTGCTCGCGGACGTATTTCTCCGCAATACGGCCAGCAATAGATTTTATCCGGCGCGCGCACTACTTATTGCTGGTTTTAACCCCTTTATTTTATCCCCCAGGTACATGATATTGATACTGTCGTGTCCGTTAAAGTGTCCTCTATCTGTTGGCATCATCGGTAATATTGCTCGCGGACGTATTTTTCCGCAATACGGCCTGCAATAGATTTTATCCGGCGCGCGCACTACTTATTGCTGGTTATACCCCCCTAAACTTATCCCCCAGGTACATGATGTTGATACTGTCGTGTCCGTTAAAGTGTCCTCTATCTGTTGGCATCATCGGTAATATTGCTCGCGGACGTATTTTTCCGCAATACGGCCAGCAATAGATTTTTTCGGGCGCGCGCACAACTTATTGCTGGTTTTACCCCCCTTAACTTATCCCCCAGGTACATGATATTGATACTGTCGTGTCCGTTAAAGTGTCCTCTATCTGTTGGCATCATCGGTAATATTGCTCGCGGACGTATTTCTCCGCAATACGGCCAGCAATAGATTTTATCCGGCGCGCGCACTACTTATTGCTGGTTTTAACCCCTTTATTTTATCCCCCAGGTACATGATATTGATACTGTCGTGTTCGTTAAAGTGTCCTCTATCTGTTGGCATCATCGGTAATATTGCTCGCGGACGTATTTTTCCGCAATACGGCCTGCAATAGATTTTATCCGGCGCGCGCACTACTTATTGCTGGTTATACCCCCCTAAACTTATCCCCCAGGTACATGATGTTGATACTGTCGTGTCCGTTAAAGTGTCCTCTATCTGTTGGCATCATCGGTAATATTGCTCGCGGACGTATTTTTCCGCAATACGGCCAGCAATAGATTTTTTCGGGCGCGCGCACAACTTATTGCTGGTTTTACCCCCCTTAACTTATCCCCCAGGTACATGATATTGATACTGTCGTGTCTGTTAAAGTGTCCTCTATCTGTTGGCATCATCGGTAATATTGCTCGCGGACGTATTTTGCCGCAAAACGGCCAGCAATAAATTTTTTTGGCCGCGCGCACTACTTATGGCTGGAGTTATTGCCAGGTTCACACCAATTTCCTATACCATGGTTATGATGG